AAGAAGGTTCGGATAGATCCCAATGTTAAGTTCGCACAGATTAAAGAGATCAAAGTAGCGCAAGAGGCTGTACGGCTTCTGGAGGCAAATACTATACTAGAACAGAGTATTCCCGTGGCTGAAACTATACCAGACGCTCCCCAAGATGCTGTACAATAGTCCTATGGTTTGAATTTTCAATATAATTACGTGGTGGTAGAGATGTCACGGTTTTCATGATGGTGGCTAAGATGGTGATACTGGCCAAGTAGGTGGTTGGCCAACAGGCAGGGGTTCGAACTTAGTCACCTACAAAGTGGCTTGCCCGGCTCTAATCCGGCCCAGCCAATAAACACATCCAATTGCCTAGAAAGCAAAAAACAAAAACATAACTACTGCAATAGGAGTTCCCCTAAAATCTCCCAGCTGCACACCGCCGAAAGTCGTGGGCCCGTCGAACAATACTCCCTCCCACCACTGTAAAAGTGGTAAAGACACCGTGTTCCCCCTTCGAAGAGGCCCGGGGCGTAGATGTAGACCCTGATGGTAGGATCCCCTGACGACCGTGCCGTGGATCGCAAGCTGCAATCTGTTTCAAGTCCGCCGTCCCCCTCTTTAGTCGCTGTACCTTCTTCGGCCCCTCGCTCTCAGTCATAGTCTTAGACGCAGTCTACAGTGCTCTCCTTCAGTTACAATTTCATCGGCTCAGTCGTAGCCCACGTAATCAATCCTCCAAAGGCTGCAGAATTCCTATATCTTTATCACTAGGCCTTCGTGCGGTTCAGGAGGTTGTGGCCTGTGGCCATTTGGTCAATGTGGTGCGGGAGATCTGGGAAGCTCCAGTAACATCTCCACTGGTTCAGCTACAAGGACTAGTAAATAGTGCCTTCATATTGGCAAACCTACCTCGCTTAAGGTAGGCGGCTGCAGAAAGGGATGGGAAAACTAGACTCGACGAAGAGCTGCCTCGAAAGCGCTATGTTCGCTCATAGGTACTTATGTCCGGAAGAGCCTGTATTCGATTTGGTCCAGGATTCGTATAATCTCGTTGTCATGATGAATACGTTATCTTAATGTCGCCTCTTCTGTACTTCATTCTTAATTGCTTGCCGCTTTCTCTTGGAAGCGCGCGCAAACCCCACTTTTCGAGACCTGCGCTTTGGTTTCTTATCTAGTTGGAGCCGTACTAAATAACTGGCGATCGGCATGTTTCGACTCCTCCCAGCTTTCTCAATATCCCACGTCGATCTCCAGAGATATACGCCGCGCCTGCACATATCTTCCCACCTGTCAGTATTCACTAGGGGTAATAGGCAGCGGTCAAGTAAGATAACAAGTCCTACACTCCCAACTGAGGGGGCCCCTTTTGGCGCAGTGGACTTTCAACAGTAAGCCATCGTTTCGGAATCCAGTATGCCCTGTACGTTACAGCCTTGAAGCAGAGTGACTTCATCCCTTCAACACTCTTCAGCCAGCATCGATGGGTAGAATCAAGTGGATTTCAGCACGGGAGCCTTCATCACGGGAGCCGACGTCCCTGTGGTGCTGTTCCCGGGGGTGGAGCTAGAGACGTCCATCGGAGCGAATGTCAGATCCCACATGCCCATAACCTCAGCACCGTGACCATCGCCGTGACCAGCCCCCTCATCTCTCGAACGGTGTGAATGTCCTCCCATCCCCTCCATCCCGTCGGTAGTGGCTCCTTGTGTTCGGCTGTTTAAACCTGTTAGCTCCAACTGGTCGAGGAATCTATCAACAAGAGAACAAAAATCTTACAGAGGGTGGAGTTTAAGGTCATAGACGGCCGTCATGGTGATGTAGTCTCCTTTCTTGACAGGAATTGGCTCCGCGCACCGGGTCATATTAGAGATGGTCTCCCATTTCTCGCCGTTGAGCTCCATGGTGCCGCTAGCGCCACCATATGTGGCTTTGCTGGTGCACACCTCCTTATCGTTAACGAGGAGAATCATCGAGACTCCGCCGTCGTGCAAGTGGCCCTCTGATTTGGTCGCATTATTAGCACGGTTTTAGCAGACGAAGAACAAAGGTCCGGATTGGCAACTCACTCCCATTGATGATGTATCCGTCTTCATAGATTGCGAATTTGTCGCTCGTCGTCCGCGACTCACCGGCAGTGTCAAGTTTGATCTCACGGCCCGCGCAGCCAGCGACGCTCATCAACTTAGTCTTCGTGTCGGGGCCAATTTTCCCCGGCATGTACTCCAAATTCATGGACAAGTACACCTCTTGCGGTTCGTCCTTGTAGTTGACAAGGTCTGACTGAATGGTGATCATCGCATCAGCAGGGAGATAGTAACCGCTCTCGAACTTTCCATCCTTGTCTGAGTAGTAAACCGGGGCGTTGCCACTATCCTCACCAACCATGAGGAAGGGGGAACCCGGAAGGATACCAAGCTGGCGTCGGCGGTGAGAATGACTGTGTTCATCAGATGCTGCTCCCGCAGAAGATGACGTGGGTGTGGTAGCCGACCCTGATGTATCGTATTAACGTCCATTCAAAAAATACCACGGGGGCTGCTAGCTGATACAGGAATAGCTGGGATGCCTTACCTGAACCAGTGGCCTCATCAGTGCTTGATGCTCCAAAGAGTCCTGCCAATTCAGAGGAGCCACCATCATCACCTGAGCCACCAAATATAGACAACCAAGACGGACCGCCTGAACTACCTAAACTGCCTAAACCGGCAAAAAAGTCCGTTAAACCCGAAGCAGGCTTAGCATTAGGGTCAATCGTCGGCGTATCACACTCCGCGACCCAAGAAGTGCTCTCCTTGTTCGTGAACGACAGCATGTGGTGGGTGTACACACCGGTCTCGACTCCAATAGGCTCGCCATTGGCCGACGTGAGTTTGATCTGCCCAAAGAGGACAGACGCGTCCTTTGGGAAGCCCTCATTCAGGACTGACATGAACGTCTCGCCTCGTGGGTCCATAGAGATGGTTCCGAAGGGCTTATCAGCGTTGCCAGGAAGCATCGTGATAGGCCCCCAGGTGATGACGGTGCGCTTTGCGTCGGGTCGGATGACAGGGGTCTCTTCGGTACTGTTGACGACGGGGAGAGTATCCAAGAACATGCTGAGGAGACCGCTGAGCTGCCGTTTGCTCTGGGGATTGCTAGCCGGCGCAGCCGAAGCCAGCAAAGGAAGGGAAAAGAGAATGAGTGACTTCATTATGACTAGAAGATGACAGGACTAGAAACTGGATAGACCAACAAGGAACGACTGGGGAGCGAAGACAAACTTGTTTGGAGGATCCACCTACTTATATCTAACAAATGCTGTGGCAGCAAAGGAATCAAGATATATTGTGGGGTTCATCTACCTACCCCCTTCTAAATATCAAGCTAGACTCATAACGCGCAAGTATGCACTGTTGAGTGTTGACTATGGAAGAGCGTCATCCAGCGTCCTGCGAGAAATATTCCGAATGTGACGTTGCGACGTTGGTGGAGCCGCATCTCCATCCTTTTAATCACAGATCTCCCCAGGCGTATCTAGTCCTAGTTGGACCAATCAGATTCGAGAGTCAGCATATATATGTGAGAACGAATGTCGCGAGATCTTGATAGGGCAAAGCAAGCTTTCATTATTAATTCATTTATTTACAGTGAGGAACGTGTCGCAAGATGCCCCTGCTGGTTTCAACTGATTGATTGATTGATTCCAGCACCCGTTCGGGCCAACATCGGTTAGCCCACGTGGGGAACTAGGTGCCTAAGTACCATTTGCCTTTGCCCTAACTAGTGACCCGTATGCTTGGAATCTTAAGTTCTGAGCGCTATGCCCTATTAAGGCAGATGCTAGGAATACCTAAAAGAGTACTCCGCACTTTACTTAGGACAAGTTCATCCGGACCTGCGTCGAACTGGACACCTTTGATATGCCAAATGAAGTAAGAGAGTGAGTATTATTGAATTATTAATTGTATCATCCAAAGTCTCCAATTTTTTGGCGGAAAATGGGCAGGAAAACGACCCCATAGAGCTGATTAAAGCACGGAATATGGCACTCGCTATAAGGGGGGATTGCTTCCTGCACCCCAAAAATGGCATAGAATTATCATTTCAGAGATATAGAAGCATTCTACGGTGAAAGATTTGCACAAGTCGATACTCGAAACCCCCTTTTTGAGTCTCAGAATGTGCGCAGAGAGCGTCCTAAGCGTGTTACAGGCCTGCAGCAGAGACGGCTTCAAACGCTTAGAAAAGACTTAGCCCCCGCAAGAGTCAGCGACGTTAGTAGAAGATAGGCCTAACAGCTTTTTGAAGAATAAGATGCCGTCTGATGATCATGATCACGATACATACTCAGTTTATGTAATTTTATCACGCTAGTAAGAGTTGGGCTAGCGTTGGGGACAAATCTAACCAGCCAAATTTCCATTGCTTCAAGTGAATGTCAAATCTGCTATTCATTACCGGTCCGTGAAGAAATGAAACCAAAAATACGCTCCCCTTCCCATCCGTAAGCCTCTCACAACTCAAACTTCTGCCCCACAAGCTCCTCACTCAACGTCCACAACCTCGTCGCATCCGCCGGATCCTTCGCCCAGGCATTCTGCTGCTCCACCACGCAATCCGCCAAATACTTCCCACTCTCACTCTCCATCCTCGGATCCAACGCCGCCACCAACGTTGTCGCGCATCCTTCCTCTCTGTTCTTCAGCGGGTCGACCTCGAACCCATACGAGCGCGTCAACTCGCCAATGTTCCTAATTTACTCCTGGGTAAGGTTGGCCCCGAGGCTTGTCTCGTAAACACTTCCCGGATGCACGCTAATCGCGACGAGGCCCTTCGTGGCCCCCCGATTTGCGAGCTCTATGCTAAAGAGGATATTGGCGGTCTTGCTCTGCCCGTAACTATCCCAGGCATTATACGCCTTGCCGTCGGAGAAGTTGTAGTCGTCGAATCGGACTGGGCCGCATTTGTGCCCGGAGCTGCTGAGGTTGACGATACGGCTGCCGTTGCCGGCGGCGAGGAGCAGAGGCGTGAGGAGAGTGGTGAAGAGGAAGTGGCCCACGTGGTTCGCGGCGAATTGGTACTCGACGCCAGATTTGCTGAGCGTGAAGTTCGCGACTGCCATCACGCCCGCGTTGTTGATGAGTACGTCGAGTTTAGGGGTTTGTGACTGGATCGCCGAGGCGGCGGCGCGGACGGAGTCGTAGTCTGCGAGGTCGAGGTTCACGAAGACGGCTTTAATACACGGGTCAATCGCGTGGATCTTCTGGATGACGCTGGTGACTTTGGATTCGCTGCGCGCGCGAGGAGGAAGATGGTGGCGGGGTGCCCGTGGGCCAGGGAGGTGGCGGTGGTGGCTCCGATACCATTCTCGCTGGTGCCAGTGATAGCGACTGTTGATGTCAATATAGGGTTCGGGATCATGCAGGGAATACTTACAGGTTCTGCCTCTAACCTGCTCTGGGAATGTCTCGACGACCTGCTGGCCGGTTGTGTGGAAACCGAATTGAGTCATCTTGACCGTAGTTCTCGGTAGTAACAATAGTTCAGTTCGACTGATCTGGTTATTGAAGATTAGGCTCAATTGTGAAATGGTAGTTATGACTTTGTTAGTTTGTCCTGATGATGAGTCTGAAACCAATTAAGATATTGACGCGATTCCTACGACCTTATATACTTCTCCTACATCTCTACTGGGTAAGTCTCCAATGATACTAGTGAGATGAGACGGTTAGCCAATATAGAGCAGGTCGATGGAGGTATGCAAGTTATCTTAACTCCTGTGGGAAGGAATAGAACATTATTGTTGCGATCAGGGGCTCTGTAGTCTGTTCGGCCGTATTTAATGCTCTAGAACCCGTAACTCCGGATATCCCTTCTTTAATACTGTCCCGAGTCGAAAGAGAAGGTTAGACGAAGGGGGGAGAGAGAGAGATTCATACGCCCGTCAGGCCTCTCGGCGAGGCCCATGTGTTAGACGAAGGGAGGAGGGAGGTCGGAGTTTAGTGGCACCAGTCACCGGGCACCGGGCACATGGCGATGGTTTAAATCCAGACCAACGAGACTGCCAAACTTGATCAGATAACTAATTAAGGCTAGTGAGATTTTCACCCGCGCTAGCTATTATTAGTTGAAATTAAATGATAAATTGGGTCCAGCGCATGTTTCCGCTTCTTTAGTTCTTTTTCTCATAGATCTCAGCATAGAAGGTATTGCTCTCCCTCTAGATTGTCTCTACGCTTCCTATGAAGAAGCCTACAATGCTCTCAAGATCTATAGTATGTAACATGGTTACGGCTTCCTACTCAAACGGAGCAGACCTCACCATTCTGATGTGAAGACGCGATATTACTATCACTGTGATCGATCCGGAAACTATCAGTCAAGAGCAAGAATTCTAAGCATAATAACACGTTCAGCAGGATGTCCTTCTAAACTTGTCATTTTCAAGACAAAGGGCGATGACCAAAGAGGTTCTGGATAAGCATCATGACCATCCCCGATGATGATGATGATGATGATGATGAAGAAGGAGAAGAAGAGGAGGAGGAGAAGGAGGAAGAAGAAGAAGGAGAAGATTATGGGCAAGAGCGCGTGCCCCGTTGTGCTCTCGGTGGTCGGCGACGGAAAGCTGGAGTACACGGGGGACGTGAACGCCGTGGAGGGGACTACGGCTGTGGCTCAGCATGTTCGCGCTGCTTTGATCCCCACCCAGCGGAGTATGTTTGACCCTAGGTTACCTTGCGCGAGGTGTAACCATGTGATTAGCTCCGTATGTGGAAGACGTATAGGTAAAATTCTCCTAAGAAAACCGTATTCCTTTCCAGTAGTTGGCTAATTCGGGTTAGGTAGGTGTGCTGGGGTCTTGAGTACGAATGTTGCTATATACAGAAAGAAATAGCTGCTTCACTATCAACGCCGCAGGGTAGGTTCGCTCAATTGTTTCCAGGAGATGAAGGCAGCAGGAAAGTCGCCTTTCTCCCAGCTCCCTCTTATATAGTTCTGTAGACTTTAGTGCCGAAATAGAGATGAGCATAGCCGGCATAATTAGAGGTACCACTGTCGGAGGAACGTATGCGATAGTATCGTCGTCATGATATGACTGGACTGTCGTGATGATTCCGTCCGCCGCTGTTTCGGCCATCTCCTTGTCGCCACTGAGCTGACATATTGCGATCATCGCCGCATTCTGACAGAGCCGTAAGTGACGGTAGCAAAGCGAGAGTAGTAGACTTGAACAGATGTCTTCTTGGACTTGGAGGCTGTCTTTGACACGGTTTGAGAAGACGGGAGGCTCGGTGGTCCTGGACGAGAGAAACTGACGCAACATATTCGCGGCTGTGACTGAGGTTCTCCACATCTTCTCGAACCCCTCTGCCTCTGCTTCGGAATAAACGCTGTTGCCTTGGAGTTTCACGTCTTGAAAGCGACATTCGGCCATGAGGGGCAAAGTGGTGCTACGCGCTGCTTCATCGAGACGCAAAGGCCTTCCCATGCTGTAAGACAGCCATGTGTCTCGAAGCATACAGCAGTGCCACGCGTTTCTCCAGACATGATACTCCGCCCTGAAGATTTGCCGGGCATCAGGCATAGGTGTGCGATGAAGACCAAGGGTCTGAGAGATGCTAAAAGCAATGCCCGACCAGTACCAAGACTGCTTGATGTCCTCGGCATCGTCGAACCAGAAGCTAAGCAGGAGGGCGGACTGGACGAGAACGAGTTTATCATTCTCGCCACCTAGTTCGAAAAGAACATTCCCTCGAGTGACGAATGACGCTTTAGTTTCCTTGTCGGAACATGCGGGGACGTAGCTTGCACTGACTGAAAACATACTCCATAAGAGAAGCAAATTCAATCTACCTAGCCCTCCACTCGCGTGATCTCGTAAGAAGGAGGGTCCATCGAGGACTGGAAATATGGGGTGGACAAAGCGGAAATAGGCTGCGAGAAGGTCATTACTTTCGGTCGGCAGCTCGAAGCAACCCTTGAGCCAGAGGTATTCCAGATCCTCTGGATTGAGGGCTGCGTCAGCCCTACCGTTGATGGTAATGTGGCGACGTTTTGGACTTTCTGGTCTCAACATATCGAATATCGCACCATAGCCACTTTCGCCAACATATATCGATGTTGTTCTGGAACTTGGCTGCGTAACGACAGATGCGACAATTCTGGTTTGATCAAGCTGGGAAACAGACCTCGAGATATCCACAGTATCAGGAGGAGCCTTTTCTTCGGGATTGACGTTCTCATTCTTCTTGTTCCTATTCGTGGACCTGTGCGCAAGGTCAATGAATCGTATTGAGAATAGAATAAGGTGAAAACTAACCTATATGGTTTCCGAGTCCGAGGCGTGCACTCTGAGCGGTACTCCCGGCAATTCGAGCATGGACTCGTAGTCGTATCCAAGTCACAACGGATCTTGCGCTCGTGACATGTCGAGCACACATTTATCGCACGTTTCCGTGCCATTTTTCTTGATTAGGTTTGTTTAACCTGGTACTACTAGTAAATGCGACTCTAGAAAGAGCCGTAAAAGGTGGTGAGATTTATATTTCTAAGATGCCGAATATACCGAAGCTGACGAGTAGGTAGCGGCTTACGGCAGCAAGGAACCACAGTGACGACGCCTTTTGATCCTTCCGACGAGTCCCGGAGGCTTAGAAAAGTAGGATCGACAGTCTGAGCTTTGGGCGCCTAAGGGATTCCAGCGCATTTCGATAAATTTGATATACTCGGTATGGCGCTTGCGTCTGTTAACTAACATAAATGCTTGATGCTCGATGGTGATTATCTATACGGTAATTTCGGTATATTGCTCCTTGGTTTTCATTGACTTGAGATGCATGCTAGATGCTGGACGGTGACTATATATACTCCTGTCTTGCCATCACCTTTCAGAGATATGCTTCATCATCTTCTAATTCCAATTCATTTCAAGGATGAGACTGCAACTTATTGCCGCTTGCTTTGCGGCAAGTGGCTTGCCCTTGGTAGCGGCGCAAACGGCGCAAGAACTTCTTAATTCAGTGTTAAACCCCGACCCAGGCTCATCAACCTATGCATCCTACTCGACGGAGATCTATTATAATGCGACTCTTTACAACCAGACAACCCAAATTTCGACCAGCTACTACAAGCTGGAAGCTTCCGCCAAGCTACGGCTGCCTCCAGCTGCGTACGATTATGCCGCAGGTGGTGCTGGATTGGAAACGACCGTTGCAGCGAATCGAGCGGCTTTTGACAATGTCAGTGTCACATAGCTTCATATCACCACCTCAATACTAACTATTGTTAGTGGAGCATCGTTCCTCGAGTAATGCGTAACATACTCCCGAAGCGGAACCTTACCACTACGCTCTTCGGCAAGAGTCTACCGGCACCCATCGTCATGGCTCCCGTGGGAGTGCAGACGATGTTTCATCCGGATGGAGAGCGTGCCACAGCAAGTGTATTTGGGGAGCTAGGACTGCCGTATACCTTGAGTACAGCATCTAGTACCGGCTTTGTAGACGTCGCTGAGGCCAATGGGGACAATCCGAGATGGTATCAGCTTTACTGGCCCACCGACGACGACCTGACCAGATCTTATCTAAAGTCGGCAAAGGAGAACGGATACGACGTTCTGGTTGTGACGGTGGACACTTGGGACTTAGGGTGGAGAACCCGCGACCTGGACCGGGGGTTCTTCCCCTTTATTCGAGGCATCGGAGTTCAAATTGGGCTCGAGGATGCCTGTGCACATGAAAAGTTGGGGTTCAACCCCTTGTCGCCCAATGCAACGGACGAACAAAAGCAGATGGCAGCACTTTATCACGTTATTTCGACATCCAGGGGGGTCTCCCCGATATGGGAAAACCTGCCCAAACTGAGAGAATTTTGGGGCAAGGGACCAATCGTGCTTAAAGGGATACAGTCGGCAGACGATGCGAAGAAAGCTGTGGAACATGGAGTCGACGGGATCATCGTGAGTAATGTAAGGAGAATTCTATGGATTATTTATTCTGTTTGCTAACGTGACGCAGCATGGTGGTCGCCAAATTGATGGGGCCATCGGCTCCCTTGACGCCCTATATGGAATTTCGAAAGCAGTTAAAGGCAAGATCACTATAGGCTTTGATGGCGGTATTCGTTCAGGAGCAGATATGTAAGTGTTATATGATTCTTTTGGCAGCGCCTGACCATGTTTTAGATTTAAAGCACTTGCGATTGGTGCCGACTTCGTTCAGATAGGTCGGCCAGTTCTATGGGGGTTGGCTCATGAAGGAGCAGTCGGCGTTCGGCATGTGCTGAAATCTCTGCTTGCTGAATTCGATTTGACACTGGGTCTGTCGGGCTGTAAGAGCGTTCAGGAGTTAAACCAGTCTTTTCTCGTTGCTAGGTAACTAACCTTGGCCTATATTTTCTGGACAATGGCTTTGATTAAAGCAACAATCATTGTCTATCCGTCAGGTGATGCACATTAAGTGATACATTCCTAATCGGGAATGTACCCTTAGCTAGCTATAAATAGTCCTAGATTATCCTTCCGATGATAGACTTAGAATCATCTCAATGAATGAGTTTTCAATCTAACAGGTTATGCAAGGGTCTCACTGTAGGGAATCTCCAATCGTGAGGCAAACGTAGAATTGTTGCTATGAAGGAGGAATCTATCTAAGGTGTGAAAGGCGTTTGTCCTTGTGCTGTGGAGCTGGAGTAACTAACAGTAATAGGCCACGAGGCCACTACGCTGTACGCATCCAAGTCCATAGCCCTCTGATCCACCTTAGGTTATAGTTAACTGAGCCTAACTTAGTTAACTTAGTTAACTAGTTAGTTAACTTAACGTAATCCACCGCCGAGCTGCGAATATCACCGAGCTGCGAACTTCAAATCTCACCAAAATCGGGATATTTCATAACCCGATATCTCAACAACAGCATCATAATAAAATCTACAAGTTGATAGATAGACTTTACTAGTCATTTTAAGCCTTTACTCAAATTCACAGAGCTCTAGCTATTGTAGTTGTAGATATACCTAGGTCATAGTAGATTCTTGCACCTTTTAGCACCTAGGATCTAGGTATATCTACCATTACAATAGCTAGAGCTCTATAAATATGAGTAAAGGCTTAAAATGACTAGTAAAGTCTATCTATCAACTTTAGATTTTATTATGATGCTGTTGTTGAGATATCGGGTTATGAAATATCCCGATTTTGGTGAGATTTGAAGTTCGCAGCTCGGTGGTATTCGCAGCTCGCTGGTGGATTACGTTAGTTAGTTGATGTACTTAACTAGTACTTTAGCACGACGAGTCGCTTTCGGGCTCCAGCACCATCTAAGCACAGCGAAGCAGTCCAGTTTCTTACTGGAGAGGTTTTGCAACCTCAAAAACCATTTTACAACTTCACTACAACCCACCTTTCTGTTACCCTAGGTCCTAATAGAGTTTAGTTACGGAATAAATTCTGATGACCCACAGTTGTACTCCGTAAACTGTGTGCTACCGAACTTCCGTTCGTAGATTAGCATCGCCCTATCTGGTATAGCGCTGATTTTCGTTTTCAATGAAAATCTCACCAGCCCTTCTAATTACAGTACAGTAATTCATCATTCCCTAGTCGCAAGATGGCCCTGTTGATTTCAATTGCCACCTATATTCATTTCGCTGCCCATTACCCCTAGAACTAAGCCTATTTAGGACTGCTCAGTCCTTTCCGACGTATTTACATATCTTCAACGGTTATCTAGCTAGATCTCTTTTTTGGAGAGAAGGGGAATCGTCAATAATAACATATATTGTGTCTCTACAGTAACTGAGCTTAAGCTGCGAACCTGCTTAATCATCACCCCGCGTAATGCGACACATGCTATATTCTATGGTTTCGCCGACCAAAATAGGTCTATACCACGAATTCGCCCGTACAGACTAATTACGTGGTGATCAAGAAGATGGTCTGGACTCCTATATTACGTCTATCCAGACATCTTGTCTATAGATGATGGTCTCCAGCTCTATATCACCATTAACACCCTGCCTAAACCAGTGCTGTAAGCAGATCAAATTCCTTAAGGTGGGCGCCTCCATCCGTGTCCTCTCCGTATCCAAGATTCTCCCGCAAGCTGACCAGATCCGCTCCATATCAGCGGCCGATGAAGGAGTCACGAAAAGGTCTATCGCGATCTAATATAGAGAGGGATATCGCGTGCGATTAGCTACCCACCAGGCGATAGGAGTTTCGGTAGGGAAAAGGCCCTCTGCGAGGTATTGAGAGACCTCATTAGATATGGGTGTTTTCCGTGGTTCTATATTATGTATCGTGACTATAATGGCAAGACCGCAAGAGTCACGTCGTCGCCAACTTCAGGCCAATCATTATCGCCAATCATTTTGGGGTGATACTGCACCCACATCCCGTTGTACTAGGCAGAAACAGGAAACCAAAGGATGCTCAATCCAGGGCTTGCGCCTCGCACATCCTGCGATACATGCCGCTGTTGGCTATGAGCTCTTCGTGAGTGCCCATCTCGGCGATCTTGCCTCCGTAGAAGACGCAGATGACGTCCGCATCCTTGATGGTGCTAAGACGGTGGGCGACGGCGAAAGTGATACGGTCGGCGTCCTTGGCGGCTTCGTTCAGGGCGCCCTGGACGATCTTCTCGCTCTCCGTATCGAGGGCGCTGGTGGCTTCGTCGAGTAGCAGGACCTTGGGGTCGCGGATGAGCGAGCGCGCGATGGCGATGCGCTGGCGCTGACCGCCGGACAGCTGGGTACCGCCCGAACCGGCCTGGGTATTCAGCCCGTCGGGAAGAGAAGAGACGAAACCCCACGCGTTGGCGCCGCGCAGAGCGGCTTCAATTTTCTCGTCGCTAACCCGTAGCGCGGCATCGGTGGACGAGAGTTCGTCCATGGTCGGGTCGTCGAGGCCGAGGGCGATATTCTCGCGGATGGAGCCTTTGAAGAGGATCGGCTCCTGCTGGACGAAGGATACGATGCGCCGGTAGAGGCGGGGGTTGAGGGTGGTGAGGTCCGAGCCGTCGATGACGATGCGGCCGGTTGTGGGGTCGTAGAAGCGCTCGAGCATGGCGATCATGGTGGACTTGCCACAGCCGGAGGCGCCGACGAAGGCGACGAACCGGCCCTTTTCGACGGTGAGGTTGATGCCGCGAAGGACCTGGGCGTCGGGTCGGAGAGGGTAGGAAAAGCGGATATCGTCCAGGGCAATGGGACCGGCGGATCCAGGGCCCTTATCTAGGTTCTCGGGGGTTTGCCGGATGGTGGACTCTAGCCCGCTGAGCCAGAGGATGTAGTTGGCGCCGTTGACACCCTTGGTGATGCTGGTTGAGAACTGGAAGAGCTGGGCGGTGGCCTGGCCAGAGAAGAAGACAGCCAGGAAGGCAACAAAGAAATTGTACATGCTAATCTTGTCGAAGGAGAGAAGGCGGCAGCCGTACCAGAAGCCAAGGGCCATGAACCAGTACTCAATAGCCTGTGTGAAGCCAAAGCAGATCATGGCTGCGAACAACGGGGGAGTAGAGTCGGACAGAGCATGGTCGAGTTCGTTGGTGTACTGTTCCAGAACAGACTTTTCAATGGCGAGAGATGAAACGGTACGAATGGCGTTGACGGCTTCCGACGCGATCGAGGCGCTGGCGGAGTAACGCTTCGACGTGTCACGATCGAGCTTGGAGTCCAGCTTAATCTTCAAAAAGGCAGCGCCGAAAAGAGGGGGGAGACCACCAAAAACCACGACCAGGCCCAGGTTCCAGGAGTGGGCGATAGCAAGAATGCTGCACGTGAGAACGTTCAGGACGGAGATCGTAATGAGACCGACATTGAAACCCATCAGCTCAAGAATGGACTGTGCATTGGAATCGATGCGACTACTAAGGGCTCCGGTGCTGTTCTCCTCGCGGTCAAAGAACTGGAGATCCTGGCGGAGGATCATATCGAAGCTCTGCCTGCGCATCAGTTGGCTCAGTGCCTGGGCAACGCAGTTGGTGGACCAGCCAAGGGCGAAGTAGCTGATAAGAGCGCCGGCCGCGAGGACGATGAACATTTTGGCGTAGAAGTTGCCCTCGCGCTCCATCGCGGCGCCGGTGAGCGTGAAGACATCCATGACGTTGGCGAGGAGGATAGCTTGGCCAGGGAAAATACCACCTTCATGCTGGTTAGCGACCGGATATTTTGAATCGGGTATGGGAAATTTTGAAACTTACTTGCACCGATGCATCCAAGAAGCACTAGTACGTACCACCAGAACAATTCAGGAGTCATCTTCATCAGGCGGAACACAACATGCAGCATACCAAATTGCTTGTGATGGTCGTAGTTGTCGCGCTCCTTTTTCGCTTCCATGCGGCCCTGGACAGACGAGGCGTACCGAGTCAGGGGCTTGTGCAGGTCCGCAGGATCTGGGTTCTGGGTGTCCTCAGTCTCCGTTTCGGACTTGCCCTCGCCGACAGCGAGGCTTTGGATCTCCACCAAGCGAGCGTAAGCACCGCCGTCGGCAATAAGAGACTCGTGGCTGCCCTGCTCGATGATGCGACCATTGCGCATGACAACAATGTTGTCTGCCTTGCGGATAGTAGCGAGCTTGTGGGCAATGACGATTGTGGTGCGACCTTCCGCGGCCTTATCGAGGGCTTGTTGGACGACACCTTCGGCATGAGGGTCTAGGGCACTGGTAGCCTCATCCAGCAAGAGAACCTTCGGTTGAGATACGATGCTGCGGGCGATGGCAACACGCTGCTTTTGACCGCCGGAGAGCAGACCTCCACGCTGACCGATCTGGGTGCCGTAGCCGTTTGGGAGTTCGGAAATGAAATCGTGGGCAAAGGCCATCTTGGCAGCGTGTTGAATCAGTTCCATTTGCTTCTCGCGGGACGCGTTCTCCCACTCGGTTCCGATGAGGCCATGCTTGATATTGTCGAAGACCGAGCCCTGAAAAAGTACGGGCTCCTGCTGAACCAGGCGGACGTTCTTACGCAGCCAATTCAAATTCAGCATGTCGATGGGGCGACCATCTAACTTGATGGTGCCTGACTCCGGGTTGTACCAGCGCTCGATGAGGCCAACAATGGTGGACTTGCCGGAGCCGGATTGACCCTGAAGGAGTCGTTAGCGACGGACCAGGGTACGAAAGCCAAGGTAGAACTTACGACCAGGGCAGTGACTTTGCCCGACGGGACCTTCAGGGAGAAGTTATCCAGAACAGTGACGCTGGGGCGAGTGGGATAGGCAAAGGTGACATTCTCGATCTCGATGACACCTTCAGTCTCGGTCGGCTGCTCGCCATCCTCGTCGAAGGGGTCAATTGACGACTTGCGGTCAATCAGTCTAAACAGCATGACAGCAGCAGAAGCGGCGCGGCCGAAGTCGATAGCATAAGGAGCCAAAATGGTCAGTTGGATGGAACCAATAACAACAGAAAGAAGAACACTGATAAATAGGGTTAGTTTAGGACCGAATACAAGGAGCCAAAAGCGCCATCGTGCAAGGGTTTAGCCTACGTGAAGATTGTGCCTGGGTCTTCGATCTCGCCAGTGGCCATCATTCGGACCCCCTGCCAGAAGGCCAGACCGAATCCCAAGTAAATTATGGTGTACTCGGCGGAAAACAGGATACCAAATAGGGGCGAGATCTTGTCACCGATCCTATGGGTCTCGGTCAAATAGGTGTTAAATCGATTGACGAGCCTCGCGCGCATGTCGAAGGCGTGAACAGTGCGTACGCCGGAGAGAACCGCTTCTGTAAAAGCATTACCCTGGGCATGTATCTCCATCATCTTGGTTTCGAAACCGGCCTCGATGCTGGCGACGACGCCCATAACGATGATGATGGCAGGGGCGATGCAGAGGCAGATGAGTGCAAGCTTCCACTGGACAACGACAGCGATGATGAACGCAGTGACGAAGGCAGCCAATCCCTGGAAGGTCAGGCCGAGCTTCTCTGCGATACCGTTCTGGATCTGGCGACCATTGGATGTGGCCTGCGTCGCAATGGAGCCACCGGTTCCGAAATCGTAGTAGGCGACTTCCTGGCTGAGGGCTGCCCTGAGGTAGGCGTAGCGCATATTGCGAACGAGACGGTAGGCAACATAGGTGAACAGGCTGTTGTAGATGTACGAGAGCACCAGCCTGCCGATACCCAAATATACGAAGTAGAGGGCGAGTTCGGCGGCATCGCTCCGGAAACCGGGAGGACTTGACACCCCAGAGACGAAGCCGGTGATGACAGTGACGAATCTACCAAATATGAGGTTTTGGAGGGCAATTCCGGCGCCTGAGCCAAGGGCGGCGACGATGGCGATGGCCTGGAGAGTATACTCGAACGCGCCGCCGTACGTGAAAACGCGCGTGTAAGCGGCAAATGGGGTCATCTCCTCGGGAATATCTGGAGTAGGAGCCTTTGCGGCGGCATCTATGGGATACTCATCGCCGCGCGCCTCTTCCGCGGCCTTCTCCTTCTCGACGATATCTGCGCCCATGATGGCGCCTGAGAGTTGTGGTGTTGACAACCTGGTGTACCTACGTCAACACCTAGACGACCCTGTGGCGATGGATTGAGGAAAGTGGGAACAAAGGAGCGGCAGGAATGCAAAGCGACTTAAAGGAAAGAATATCAGGATCCTTATGCCCTTGAGCGGACAAGTCAGGGAAGAGAAAATACAATACAATGGTTTCGGGAAACAGGCAACGAAAGAGTGCCCTGCAAAGTTTGACCCAAAGATCTGTAAGCTGGAACGCGCGGATTCTACGAAGTAGTTATGGGACGCGACGAAATCCATCTCTTCTTGGGTCCCGTATAGGCTGGGCCTTGGCTAATTCGAAGTTCATAAGAAGGTGATGTGTACGTTAGGCAGGTAGGTTCGAGCCAGCGCGACCCGCGCGTCCCGGACTGAACACCAAGAGATTTGGCGGGCTGTGTCAACGTTCGAGAAGAAAAGAAAAGTTCTGTCTGAAATGAAAATTAGTCTCAGATACCTCAGCCGCTGAAAGGCACGTGACAAGGAAGATCCGAAGACTTGGCGCCACTACCAACAGCGTCTGAGCCAAAATCCCAGGATTTGGTGTAGCTTTCCCAACCGAAATCACGATAACGAACATATTGAAGGCCATTCTGCTGCTTTTCGACAACTAATTGGCGTTTAAAAAAAATATAGATACTATACTTTTGATTATTACCTTTCAGACTATCTACTTTTAAAGAGTCCCTACGCCCTATGGACTGAGATCAATTGCAATCTAGTTGCACTATTCCATGTTAAGGGCTCTCAACATATTTCCATCCATCTCGACTCCTGATGCACAATATACCCCATTAAGATCCGTATATCCATCTAAAACATATAGAAAATATACTTTCAATCATTCTCTGTAAGGATAACTACTTATAAAGCAATCTCCCCTTCTGGATATTGAGATTAATTCGGGTTTAGTTGACCTATCCCTGGCCTATTCCTTCAAACGCTGCCAAACTTGCTCAAATATTCCTTAAATTATAATACATATTCCATCAAAGTCAATCCCCCTATCATTAAGAGTCCTTATACAGTATAGAACATTCTCTTTATGCCACCAAAGCAGAAGCGGGGGGCTAAACCAAAGCAAGACTGGCGAACCAACATCAATCTATTTTCCGAAGTCGACCCAGTTAAGAAGGAGGAGCTGCAGGATATACAAAGGAGAGTTGAGAGGTGTAGGGAGGCACAATGGCAGGATCAGATATTGGTGGTTAAAGAAGGAATCCAGTCCTTCTTTGGGTTTGAAGCAAAGGATGACCAGGCACGGTGTATTGCACACCTCCTTTTCAAACAGAGAGACCTGATCTTAACTGCAAAGACATCCTTTGGCAAGAGCTTAATCCATCAAGCACTACCATGCCTCTCTAGAGGATCTGTTGCCATTGTGATCGTCCCTCTTGATGCACTTGGTAAAGAGCAAGAAAAGAAGATCTCATTAATCCCTGGAACCCGACCAATCTTCTTAAATGCATCAAACACGAACGATGGAGTGATTCAAGAAGTACAGAAAGGTGCTTACACTCATATTATTACCTCACCAGAGCAATTGATTGGCAAGAGGTTCCGTATCCTTATCCAGGATCGGCTCTTTCGGTCCCATCTGCTCTCTGTTTGTATTGACGAGCTTCATCTCGTTTTTGACTGGGGTGATAAGTTCCGCCATTCCTATACAGAACTACGTATCGTCCGACGGGAGCTTGAAGATATTCCGTGGTTTGGAACCACTGCAACTCTGGACCGGTTAACATTATCCCATGTCCGGGGGCTCCTAGAATTATCAGACCATATTCAGGTTATTCAAACAGACACCAACCGAGAGGATCTTACCTATATTGCCAAGCAGATCCCTATACATACACAGAAGTCATTTCTCGGGTTGAATTTCCTGCTCGAAGGTGCATTTCGACATTGTGTAAACAGGGAACAAGACCTACCAGGGGGATGTTGTGATGCTTGTCATTGTCAAGGAAAAGGGTTTATACCTACGCCTGAGCAAATTGATAAAACCATCATCTTTTTTAAGGCAAAGCGCGAGATCCGGGAGTGCACTAAGATAATCCGTTCATGGTTCCAAGAATATGGATATTCTGAGATACTAGCGAAGGACACAGTGGCACAATATGGTACCATGCTGACCTAAGCGAACATGAGAAACAAGGGATATACTCAAAATTCTACCATTCCCCTATCAGGATCCTCCTTTCAACAGATGCACTTGCACATGGTTGCGATATTCCAGATATCACAAGATCTATTATATGGAAAATTCCTCCTGATAATCTGATCAACCTTATCCTACAACGGTTTGGGCGTGCTGCTCGAAGCGTGCCAGCTGGGACTGCTATCCTTTTCTTCCAACAATCTTACCAAGGGCACCGAACTCGTGCAAAAGATATGCAAAAGGAGCATCAACACCAGACTACTCAGGGAGGTTTACCCGAAGGAGAAGATCCAGGAGACCTCAATTCATCTACTTCAGATGATGACGATGATGAAGAAGAGCCTTTAATAGGAGAAGGAGCTAAAGGATCATCATCTCGCGAAGACCATTTGAGCCAAACCCCCAAAGGCCAGAAATCGAAAGCAAGACTATCAGAAGCAGAGAGACGTGGACTTCTCCCTAACACCATTTACCAGCTCTGCAATACCAATGGTGAACGGTGGATCCGGGAGTTAATCAATACACACTACGAATGCAAAACACCAGAACGCGACCCTATTACATGCTGTGGAAGTTGTAACCCTGAACTCCTGTCTACTTTGGACACACAAATCAAGACTAGCCAGGACAAGGCAATGGCTGCAAAGAGGCTTCGACCATTAGTTGATTCCCTTAAACTCTTTTTTTATAAAGAGGCGCAAAGGGAATATCCAACTACGGACATTTGTTATACACCATATTAGCAATGGTTAATATTCCGTGAGGAACTATCAATACTTGCAAACACATACAACCAGCTTCAGGAGAGCGTGCCAAAGGAACAAAAACCAGATGGATATTATATCCTTCTTTTTGGAGATTTGCTAGACATTCGCAAGGCTTTACCACAAAACGAATGGATACGTGAGGATGGACATTTGATAAGCCTAGGGAAAGCATTGGAGAGCTATAAACATGCTCAGTACCAATTAAAGGAAGAGAAACAGCGCACGATCGAAGATAAAAGGAGGCAGGCTTTGGCAAGGAAAGCTCAAGAGAAAGAAAGGTCACAAGATAAAGCGATTGGCCTATCCTTATTGTTTGAGCCTGGACATCCAACCTTTACGCCCCATTTGAAGCCCCCTTGCCCATCTGTCAGTGATGCTCCTCAGCCTATACAAGAGCATCAGCTATCTCCAGTTACACAAGATACTAGTGCTTACCCAAAATCCCCGAAACGACGTCAAGGTGCACAAGTACAACAGCTGTATACTCTTCCAGATATTTCGAGCCTCCCTGAAGGTAGCAGCCTCCTCAAACTTCTAATGCCAATGTCTACTATTGGTGATAAAGATCTAGCACCAACTAAGCGACGGCAGCAAGGGCAGAAGTTGGTAAATCAACCAGCGCCTTTACAGCCGATGGCTACAGATCATACCATCCTCCCTCTCCGACCAAATAGCGGTGATCAATTTCAACATGATGAGACTTTATATGACCCACTCCGAGTAATGATCTTATATGGATCATATGGTAGCAATAAAGCATCGTGTACATCATTGTCCTCCTTTTTTCGAGCAGTATAGATTGAGAATGCAAGATGGATGATATCCCGCTGTGCTGAGCTGATAGTATAGGAGTCATTGATCTTGATCTTAAATGTGTCTTCTAAGTATTTAGAGATCTTCTGAGTGGCAGACATAGCCCATACTCCATGGGAGAAAATCTTCTCCATGCCAAATGTCGATGTTGTCCCATGGGCTGATAGGTAGTCTTTGATATTCCGATTCAAATGCTCCACGTCAAGATCAAACTCATGCCACGAGTTTAGACTCCTCTCCTGATTGTTAATCAAGCCCCCTGCTAGGATAGCATCTTGTAAATCCTTGTCGGAGGCTCGAGTACATGTTTGGGTAAAGAGGAGAAGCATCTCATATCGGTATTAGTCTCGCTTAGCTCCTGCAAAGATAATGGCATACTGTGCAAGTGCCCGTCGGAGTTGACCAATATCACCAAACTTGATTGCATATCGGAGGGTTAGGTAGGCCTCGACGATTGAAATAAATCGAAGATGGTTTATACGCTCGATCTCGCCGAGTCTCTTTTGTGGAAGTGAGGATCCTGCATACTTTTTGAAAGTCTTGGGTGGGATTGTTTCCGAAATGGTCTTGTATGCTGTAGGCGAAAGCCAGTTCCGGAGTGTCTGCATCTCTGCTTCGTAAGGAAGGTCTTGGGACTGGGCCCGGGCGTCAGCACTGAAGAGCTGTTGGTAAACTGCATCAAGACAGGACTGGAATTGAGCTGGTGATAGACCTCCTAGGCGTGTTGAAAGTTGTTCAATGTTAGGGGGATAGAAGCTGCCTGTAACGTGTTCAATCACGAAGCAAATAACTCTAGCATAAAAGCTATGTATAATCACTTCTTCCATGATCTTGAATGAGGCATTCTCGCGAGAAAAGCCACGTCGGTTAAGGAAGGTTGCGCTGTGACAAAGAGTCGATGAAAGGAAATTGCAGCTTTCAATGCCATAAAACTCGCGGGTAATCAGATAAAGGAAATTCAAGCGTGTATGCCAAAGGGCTGGGACTGGATGTAGCCAGTTGTAAGCATCAAAGGGCCTTTCAGAATCAGCACGCTCTTTGATACAGCTCCGAAGAAGTCTGACTGTTTTAACATCTCCATATACCAGGAAGAGGCGTTCAGTAAAGTCTGTCTCGATATTAAACTTAAAAAAATCTAAGAATATCTTCTCGAGGATTTGGTGATTCCCATTTGTAGTAGACTGGTTGACTGGTATAGGCCCAAGGTTATTCTTCACTGTCTTCTCTGCTTGGAGTCGATCGATTGTTGGAAACTCAGGAAGCTTAATCCGTTTCGCCTTCAGTTGTCGAGTTGCGTCAGGGAGGGCTAATTCAATTGCCTGCCGAATCAGGAATAAGGCGTTCTGTTTTTAGATGCCTGAAGCATCAGGTAATTGGACTCCATCATAGTTGAAGAGATGTGGAGGCCGGATGGTAAACGGTCTCCGCATTGTCTGTACAAGACCATTTTCAGGCATCCGAGGACAGACTGCTGCAATTCCAGATGTATAGCTGAACATCTCGCCTGTATTCCCAATCCGCTGATGGGATGGTCGCTCATGCCCATCACAATTGTCCATTGCAATGGCCAGTCCGGGATATTTTGCAAACCGTTTAAGGCTATGCTAGATGTGGTTAGAAAGTTGGAATATAGTATCATATGACTGTAGAAAAAATACCATTTCTGTGCTGATTGTCTCCTGTGTAGAATCTCGAAGCGTATTATATGTAGGAGTCATCCCGAAGGCATGGAGATACTTTAGACCTTTGCGAGACAGACCTGCAGCTTGTAATGTAATCCCAATTCTCTTAGGAAGATTATTTGATAGCTTTTTATGCCGGGAAAAGGCCAATGAGGACGCAATCATTGTAGTGAGTCCATGATGAGGTTTCTGGCCAGATTGTTTCGTCTTGCTTAGGGTTGGGCAACTGACTCAACGATAGAGAAGAATAATGGTGCCCTATGTCGGACAATCTGGTGCATGCTTCCAACATTCCCAGGGGTCTTTTCAGCGTCCCATGCCCCAAAAAATTGAGATTCGTCTTGCATCAGGTTTTCAAATTCATCTGCGATGATGCAGGTAAAGACATGTCGAAGAATAGAAAGAATACGCTTAGGCTTATGCTTGATGATATAGCGTTGCGTGTCGGAATCAAGGAGAATATCAAGAAGAAACCCTTCTACAAGTTGATGCTTTCCAGTCTGCCTTTGCCCTGTATGCTTATCGATCATAAAAAGGAGGAACTGGTTCCTAGAAAAATGACCCTTCTTCATCATTGCCATGATTTCGGTATAGCAGGCATGAGTTGCTTTGTTTTGAGCTTTCGGTGTAGTATTCGGGGCACCATCATCGGTGAACGGAAGGGAAAAGTTAGAGGGGGTATCTTCGGCCTCTTCAATCGACTCTTCTTCAGATAATGTATCATCTGTGTCTGAAATTATTTATCATTTAGTATATGATCATTGTAAGGTTAGATAGACATACCGTATGAAGTTTCACAATTAGAGGATAAAGACATCTTTAGTGATGTTCAAAAACTAATAGATAATGTGAAGCTTGATCTAACGATTCAAATGATATTAATATTATGTTATGAATATGTCCGGTCTCAACAATCAATTCAAGATAACTTTCATACATCACCACATATAAGGTGGCGGGAAAGGCTCACGAAGGCAGGACTTTCTGGCTTAGGCCCCCGTCGTGCTGGCTCCGCCAATCACCTTCAGGGGGATACCAGGGTCCACCGAAAGGTGGCCTGAGGTATCTGAGGCTAGTTTAGACGACATTATCGTTTAGAGTGTAGGCGCTAACTAGATTAAGGATCTAGCGTCGACAGTGTGGATGAGGTAAGCTTCAGCTGACGAACCAGGGGCGCGGATAGTGCCATCCCGGCGATGGTAGGACCGAGACATGCGTATGACAAATGATGCAGTTCGGGTGAAGGCCATGTGAAATACAAGACTTCGTAGCATGCGTGTGTTAGTGCTGACGGTGACTCTGTGGGTATGGACCAGCAACCACAACTACCACACAGTATTGACAAACATTGTGACGTTCTCCTTGTACTTTTATCTCCCCTGTCCAATAATGCCAATTACTCGAAGCGATACTGCAGAGTACGTACTTGTGGTCCGCGCCTCGCTGAAATAAACTACAGAAATAACTCTGCCAAGCTTCACTGTACCGGGGAAACTGTGTGGCCACGGATGCACGCTCATGTCCTCCAGATCTCATTGAGCCCGAACAAGGTGTACTGAAGTACTAAACAGGGGGTTCAATGGCTGGTCAAATGTAGGAGCAGACCAGCAGCAAATTTATATCCGGGATTCTCCGAATAGAGTTGTGTACAGCACTCAAAAAATACCCGTACCTCATGGGCCCCATTGCGATACAACACTGCTCCGCCTCACGAAGTACAACAACCTCAAACTAGCTTGATCAAAGCCTAACACTGACGCAGGCTGTCCTTTCGCATCGGGGGGCATGTTACATCTCAGGTCGAGACTCCCAGCCAAAGGGAGACGCTAGAGCCAAGGGCAGGATGTACGACAAGGAAACCTGAAGGTTCAAGGCCCTATACGGGACCCGTTCACCTCGGAGCTCCGGCTTACTATGAAGACCTGCAGGTCCGGGCATCCGATTTTGAGTTGGACCGCAAGTCTCCATTACTCTGGCTGATGACCGTGGCAAAGATCCTCTGGTCTTTGAAGCAGGCTGCGTATTCATTCCATCTCGTTCAGGGAATAGAACGTGTTCCATCAAATCGGCGTCTACATGGCGCCATTTGCCAGCTTCGGATCCAAAATCTGGGAGGTCGTACACACCAGGTCTGGCTTTCCAGGAGCATACAAAAGAAAGACGATGTCATGCAAAATATTCAAGACACCCATTACAAGCTCTCTCAAGAAGAAGCATATAGACAAGACCGCCTCAGCTGGCCCCGTGACACTTCAACATGGGACGTCATCGCGTGTCTTCCTCTGTCTCGTTGATGAGATGGGCTACTCTCCTTTGGACTCTTCTTTGCTCTTCAGCTTCCGCTCTCGAAACAAAGCCCCAGGCGACTTATCCACTCCCGCATGAGGCGGAAACCTCAGTCATATCGTCGAATGTCCTCCAAGTGCGAGCCGACGTGAAGCCCTTCACTCTTCGTATCATGCCCTTGGGGGCATCCATCACGGCTGGATATGGCACTACTTTCGAGCAAGGATATCGGAAGCCCCTCAGAGACCAGCTACGTTGGCGCGGCTGGCCTGTCAACATGATCGGGAGCTCACGTGGCGCCTCCGAGGTGAACTTCAAGAACGATCAACATGAAGGCCACGGGGGTCACGTCGTTAGCCAGACAATCGATGACTCAAACCTGAGCCTTTATCGGATGCCCAACCTGATTCTCATCAATTGCGGCACCAACGACGCCGCCGGTGACAATGTTCCGACCACGGGAGATAGAATGAAGCTTGTCTTAGACCATCTTTACAACAAGGTTGACAACGTCACTATCATCCTGTCAACCTTGGTTCCCAGACTCGACGAATCCGCCGCCGATACATCCAGCATCAGCGCGCAGTATCGTACGCTAGCTTCGAACTACGCCGCGGCCGGCCGCAAAATAATACTCGCAGAACTGGGCAGTGGTCTCTTTGACAGCAGCACGGATTATTATGACAAGATTCACCCCAACGACAAAGGCGCAGCGAAGGTTGCGGCAGTTTGGGATCAAGCAATCTTGGAAGCAGAGGACAGGAATTTCATTACGGAGGCCATCGACACCGGAATCCCCGATATTAGCAACGGTGAGGATTCTGGAGGACAGGGCACATGTGCCGTCGTTCGTGGAGGCCTGCGCGGGCCGGTCAAGACGCAGTCAGGCTGGGGATACAACGACGGCACGTATGCGCATAAGGATGATTCCACGGTTGGTCCGATCGACCTCGGGCATACCGTGATAGGTGACATCGAACCTGGAACAGGCGGTATTTGGTTTGCTCAGTTGGTCAACCCGGGAAACGCTGACTTCGGTGACTATCTCGACGAGCTTGTCTACTGCACGGACACGGGGCCGGGCCAGGTGCCCGGGCCATGTCTCATGTGGGAGAACTCGGACGGCAACTACAACAAGATTGACGCCAAGCGCCTGGACATCGGTCTCAAATGCCTCGCGCGAGGCATCCGCTTCGGGGATGTCAACGGGGATGGTCTGGACGACGCCATCTGCATCAACCAGGAGGCGAAGATGTACGTGGCCATCAACAAGGGCGGAAACCCTCCTACCTTTGAGGTCCTTGAAAACGGCGGTCTCGTCCGGGGTACCGGCAGCGAGCAAACGTGCGACTCCCAGGCCCAGGTCAGATTGGGTGACATGGATGGCGATGGTCGTCTGGACTACTGCTGCATCGACAAGAAGGGTGACATCTACTGCTGGCGCAACGGCGGCTCGGGTAAAGCGCCAACCGCCAAAGAGAACGGCTACTGGCAGGAACTTGTGAGTCTCGAGGTGTCTCTTCTCCAATCTCTCGTGACTGACATCAATACCCCTTTTAGGTCGGCGGAATCACCTTTAAGGCCAAGGGCGAGGGCGAGGGTATCGATGGAGTCCGTTTCGTCGACATCAACGGCGATGGCCGAACCGACTGGGTCTACATACACAAGGACGGATCCAGCGATATCTACGTCAACCAGCGTGGAAGCTACAGCGAAGACGGTAAAGGCCTCGCGCCTCACTGGGCGAAGGCATCGTCAACCCACGCGGCGTTCGGCGGGCTGGACACGCGGGACAATATCTATTTCGGTCGACTCCAACCCAGATCGTCTCGCGGCGACAACCTTCCCGCTAGAGCCGACCGTATTGTCGTGCAAAACTTGACAGCAACCGCGGGTAAGAATGACCCCAAGGTACAGCTCTTCTTTCAGACCAACCTGGGCGCCGGTGGTACGAAGCTCAAGGGAGACGGTGTTTTCTACTGTGATATGTTTGGCAGTGGCAGCGACGGTGAGTGTTCCTTGTCTGTCATTCCTCGTGATATCGGCTAAGATGCAAGAAAAGACTATCTGTGGGTGCTTTCGACGGGCGCCATCACCCTGTTCAAGAACATCCACTCGCCACCTCAGTGGGGGCCTCTTGGACAGATCATCGACATCGAGAGGGACCGAAAGAGCATTCATTTCGTAAGTTGGAACGCAAGTCGCGAACATCCTGGGAAGCTGACGTATCGACAACAAGGGTGACTGGGATGGTGATGGAAAGTGCGACATCCTGGCGGTTGAGCGCCATACAGGCCGCGTCGAGTGGTGGCGCAATCTCTACAAGACCGGCGACAAGGTGCCTACCTTCGCTGCCCCCAAGTGGGCTGTCGACTCCTACGACCACCTATGTACCGAGGGCTGGGGTAACGGCGTCTATGACTATGGCCTTGAGTTTGCCGATCTTGGTACGTGCTCATCTTCGTCGAGAGGTATATTGTGCAAGGTATTGACTATTAGAAAGATGGTGACAAGAGGGTTGACTACTTGTGCATGAAGAAGAATATGCAGGTCTTTGGGTCCTTGAATAAGGCGGGAGGGCTTCAGTATAAGGATCAGATCAAGCTCGCCCCTGATGAAGGCAAACTGGACCGAGCCAACTTCAAGTGGGCCGATGTAAGTGATCATGAGTACCTTGGCCTAGGCCCTTTGTCTCTGGTAAGGAAATATGTTCTGATCAAAGCATCTCTCCGCAGGTCAACGGTGACGGAAAGGCCGACTTGATCTGGGTCGACAAGTTCAATGGCAAGGGACGCCTCTGGACTAACGGCGGATTCACACCGGCCGCCAGCAGTAGCATGACCTGGAACTACGAGGGCTTTCGCTTCGACGGCTACGGCCGCGGGCAAAACATTCACTTCCCCAAGATCGGGACCAGTGGCCGCGCTGACTACCACGATGTCTGGCCGGATACGGGAATTTCCAACACCTGGTTCAACGAGTGTTCGCGCGAAGGCGAAGGTCAGGATGACTACCCGACTCCCATTGACCCCAACTTACCTGTCGTGGGTTCATGGGCTTCGTTGAATCCAACTTGGCAGGACCTTACCCCGGAAAGTGTCATTGTCACGAGCAAGGGTGACTTCACCATCCCATACACGGACCATCAGGTTTATTCCACTTTAGCGCTGACAGGGGTATGATGGCGCCCAGTTAGTGTACTTCTAGAATCCAATCACAACGCGGTACGAAAATTACAGCCTTTGCGCCTTTTTGCCTGCTCCATTGCTCATTGCAACTCTACTTGGTACTATCCAAACGATGAACTATGCTTTCGATGCTCCCATCAACTTCAGACGCCGCCGCTTCCGATAACGAGGTATCTGAGGATGAGCTCACCACTGAATTTGTATGGAGAGTGCCATCTGATGCTACCACCGCTGCGGAAGTGGATTCGGAGCCCCAATTACAGCAACCTCAGGTTGAACCTGCAACATCCTCCGCTGGATCTCTCCCTACGCCAATTGGACGACCTGGGGATGCCTCCTACGTAGCCATTGATCCTGCTACTAAGAGGCCTCTAGGGCAGCCTGGAGCGTACTTTGAAAAGATGAAAGGATACGTCTCATACTATCACTACCCCGAAGCGTTGCTTGATCTCTCCATTGGCGTCCAAGGCCCTCTCTGCGCTACCGACACGGAGAGTGTATCCTGTGGGACTCCAGGTTGTACTGGCTGTGGGATTTTCCATAGCAATGGTCTATCCCTAGACCCCATGCTTCACGATCGCCCTCTAGCTTCCTTTGAAGAGCTTGCTAAGCGGTGGGATCTTCCGCTTGTCCTTTTCTCCCAGTTATTTGATGAAGGCATGTATAAGACGATCGCAGAGCACTCCAACCTATACGCCCAAAGGCATGAAATCTCGATTAGGCCTGTCACCGCCGGCCATATCCGAATATGGCTTGGCCTTGTCCTTTACATGGGTACCTTCAATATCGCTTCTCGGGGGGATCTCTGGAGTAGGCACGGCCAGCGGCCTCTCCACTGTATCTCTAGGTTTATGTCCTTTAAAAGATGGAAGCAGATCAAACGGATTATCCACCTCTCCAATCCAGACACAGAGCCGCAGCCGCCCTCCGTCTTCGACAAAGTACAGCCAATTGCCTCGCTTATAGGTGCTCGCTTCAGCCAGGTATATCTTCCTTCAAACTACGTCTCAGTCGACGAGATTATGGTTAAGTTTACGGGTCGATCGAAGGAGATTGTCTCAATTAAAGGCAAGCCTATCCCTGTTGGCTATAAAATCCTTGCCCTCGCCGATAGAGGCTATGTTTATAACTTCCTCTTTACCTCAGGGGGAAGCTTTGATACTGGAGGAAGGAAGGATACATCATCAATCCATGGTGTAAACTATCAGCCCCTCCCTGGATACGAGAATCTTGAGCTTACGGCTACCTCAAAGGCGGTAGTTACCTTGGCAGCCTCTCTTCCTGTCGCTCTCCGCAAGTTTGTTATCTTTATGGATAACTACTTTACCAACATTCGCCTACTCTCCGTCCTTCGAAAAATGAGGATTGGGGCCTGTGGAACGACTAGGGCGTCGTATAAAGAGTACCCATTACAGCACTTCAAAGAGGCAAAGGACAATTGCAGATGGCCGCTTCAAAAGCAGGGTTCCCTGTGCGTTCGTGATGTTGCCAGCCTCTTATGGAAGGATCGGGTACTCGTACGTTTCCTCCATACCATTTTTGAGCCAGAAGAAAATGACTGGGTACCTCGGAGGCGTCCGGCGACTGGAACAGCTACGTACCAGCGAGAACTTGATCAAATCTATCCTCCTGGGGTCCATGAGACACCGGTTCTACAACCTAAAGCCGCTATACTGTACAACAGCTTCATGGGAGGTGTCGATATCGCGGATCAACGTCGAGCCTACTTCACATCCCACCTGATTAGCCAGAAAACATGGCATCCTATTCTCTTCTGGATGCTCGACACGACTGCTTCGAACGCCCATATCCTCGGTACATGCCAGTTTCGGAAGCAGAATATTAGATATCTACAGAGCCTTAAGGATTTCCGTCTACAGCTTGCCTGGAATATGGTCATCAAAGGTATTTCAGATGGTCATGGTTCCCGAGTAGTACAGGGCTTCAATGAGCAGGAAGGTCCTCAAATTCGAGGCAACCGAGGGATCAGGAGATCCGGTAACTCGTACGTACGGCCAAATACAGAGTTCCCGTATCATACTACTCTTAGAAGTGGTGTTCATCGCTTGGCACGAATTTCAAGAGGGATGCGACGGTGGTGTTGGATGTGCAAGTGGAAAAAGCTAAGGGATACCCAAATCAAGGACCGAAGGACCTTCTTTTGCTGTGAGGTCTGTGGAGAAGGATTTCCTCTCTGTGTTTGTTGTATAGAACCATTCCACAGTCAGAGACCTAGCTAGATACTACTAGATTCTTCTGTAACTAAGTTAGTAATTTTGTCTATTTACTTTATGAGGTCTGCATCGAATCGAATATGACGCCTTGATAAGTAAGAACTTGAAATTCTTCCAAACTAGGCCAAGTGCCTCAGGGGTGGTGCTAGCGCGGCCATGCCAAGTGGTATGAAAACCCAGTAGGGGATTTGGTGGGAAAATATCACCAGCCTTTCCCGATTCGGCACGCTAAACTCTAAACGAAATTCACCTAGATGTTATGGTCCCAGGCCTGTGGCCTGAGCCCTTGAGTATGGCTGACGCCACAGGGATGTGGCTAGTGGATGGCACAAAGGAGATAGGAACAAAGGAGGTATCTCCTATATCTAGCGCGCAGAGACGCTGGGAGGTTTCTTCCTTCTCTCTCTTCAGTTTAGATTAATGGAACTTGGTAATCGCAGACCTTGCGCATCCAAACCGTGTCACTAGACGCCGTTTGCTTCTTATGAAGGAGTAAAGTGTATCCGTAAATGCTGCAATCATAAACTTCAGTTACTTTATCTACAAGTATTAAAGACATAGTCTATATCTATACAATTAATAGAATGCTAAAAAATCTTGTTGATTAAATACGTTTGTTTCCCTTGGGAGATATTAAGTGAAGTGTTACTAACTAAGTGCTAGTTACTGAAGTCTGAACTTATAATATGGACATGGTACGGATCAAATTATTTCCGTTGTCTAGAGCTAAACCCTCACAAACTTGAGGTTCAACCCTCAGCTTTCTGCGGCATCGGCTCCAAGATCGATACGTTAGATGTAGGGCCGGGGGACCAGGCATTCAGCTAGAACACACAACTTACACACAACACACACAATACAAACAACTTCGCTACTATAACAACAGCACCTAACTCCCAACCATTTTAGCACATCACGTACGACAATTCCATACGTTCGTAATTACCATATTCGACACTAGTGCATTGCTTAATCTCAATTTCAGCCTCTGGAGCCCGAAATTCCGAGCGAGTCTTTGTCAGAGTCTGCGGTTCTGGCCATCTGGGGCATTCCGGGCATATGCCAACGCCTAGCAATTTGCTTGTTGGACAAGGATGGGAATTGGACCGTGGCAGGGTGGCCCGGGTCGGGTTGCCGCATTTGCGTTCACTAGCTCAAACGCTTGGACCGCAATCTTGGCACTAACCCCCTCACCGAGCGGATGGTATGGGCAGCACAACGACAGGCCATGGAGGACGAGGATGGCGCATGCTGTCTCCTTGGTATCTCCAATATCTTGTGCCACTTATCTATAGGCCACAGGCCTAGAACCATAACAGGGGGAGAAATCTCACCAGCCATTAATCAAAAAATCATTAGGTACCGGACTACCGGTACAGTATTCAGAGATGTTTTGTAAAGGAGAAGGTAGAATTCGATTATCCCCTTCGTCATCGCAGTACACAAATTGGCAGGAGCTTTATATCACGTGAATTCCTAGTACCCAATAAGTTTCCAGCATTCTTAATCCCACTATGATACAGCATGATAGGTCTAACTGAAAAGGGGCTGTGTGTGTACTGCTGCAATGACGACAAAGGGGATAAGCGGAAAGAAGTTGGAGGAGGTGCTTCTATCCATGAAATAAATTTAACATTAGAAAACACCTAGCGCAACTATTCCAACGACAAGTCGCTCCGCCCCGAGAAGCGCTGCAGTCATAGGACCAACTGCAGCACCTGAAAACGGGGCAGGTCGAGATGAAGTTAATACTGCAACAGGGCTAACGGAGCTGTGCAGGGATGCTTCTGAGGGAATACGTTGCTCGGTAGACGCGGGAGCGGGACGAGAAGCAGGTGTCTTAGCCGACGCGGGAGCCGGGCCAGGAGCAGCTAGCTCAGTCGACGCGGGAGCCGAGCCAGGAGCAGCTAGCTCAGTCGACGCGGGAGCCGGGCCAGGAGCAGCTAGCTCAGTCGACGCGGGAGGGGGATGAGGAGCTGGTGTCTCAGTCCACGCGGGAGCCGGGTTAGGACCAGGTATCGGGGACCACGCGGGAGCCGGGTTAGGAACAGGTATCGGGGACCACGCTGGGGCCGGGTCAGGAGCAAGTATCGGGGACCATGCGGGAGCCGGATCAGGAGCAGGTATCGGGGGCCACGCAGGAGCCGGGTCAGGAGTAGATATCTCAGTCGGCACTGGAACTGGGCCAGGATCAGACAGGGCAGGAAGGCCTACTAGGATGCTGCTAACCGCCGAGATAGCCGCTCCGATGGCCGGCATCGTTGTCGTGGTCCCAGTCACACTAGCCCCCTCTTCCACCGTCCTGGTGTACATGACAGCTGGAGCGCTCGTGGCAGTACTAGGAGGAGCACCATTTGCTGGGTCACAACCAGATCTGATCGGAGTTCCACCGAGCTGCTCAAGAATGGTGGGAAGGGAGTTCAAGTAGTCAATCAGTTCAGATGGAGGTGAAGCCCCGGCAGTAGGAATCGCGTCAACGGCGTAAATCAGAGACGCCGTTTTAACGGCTGCTGGCAGCGTAAGTGATGCAACGGTGGTGACGCAGCCTGTGGCTCCGGGCTGGGTGGTTCGGAATGTGTGGTAGAAATCCGTGAAATAGAGATAGGTCGTCGGATAAAACCTAAACCAGTCAGATGCCGCCAGAGTGAGAGAAATGGTAAAGGGTTGCTAACAATGTCAGGCCAAGCGTCTCCCACGTGAGATCTGGCTCCGGCGCAGGTGTTCCTAATTGACGAACCGACGTGCTCGTGACCCGGGATCCATCGGCCAACTCGGTCACAATTACATCAATTGCTGCCGTGGGTACCGTGGCCGTTGTTTGGAAAACTGCGGTTGGGTATGACTTTTCAGTTAGCCTTGGGCGGATAATGCTAAAGGAACCTCTAACTTACAAGGACGCTGGCGGTAACATCAACTTGACATCCTCCCGGACATGTCCCACTTGGTACTGAACGAGTTGATGTCGAGGCACCTGAATCAAAAAGTCAGCCTGAGAAGGGGCAATACGATAGTCACTATACGAAAGAAAATCGAACCAGGATTGCCTCCTGAGCTGGTAGACCTCGAGCCGGAAAGCGAAGAGGAAGTTGAAGGAATACTTAGATTAGAAGGAGACTGACTTTGTGTTGTCGTAGACACTGTGGACCCGGACACGGTAGTAGTCACCATGGATCCAGATGCAGTGGCAGTCACCGTGACAGTCGTTGCGGAATTGGTGCCCGGAACAGTAGAGATCTCCGTGATAGTAACTGTGTCGTTCTGTCCTGGCAGTGTGATGGTGACCTTCTCAGTCTCAGTGATGGTATCCCTGATGGTCTCGACGGTTTTTTCCGTAACAGTAAGAGTCGTTGTCTCCATGGTAGCGGTAGTTACGTCGAAGAGTGCTACCGCAATCCATACTGCTATGATGTCCTTCCAAAGTCTCGTCATTTTGATTAAAATGTTAAGATATTGTGCCAAATACGGTGTTAAACATCATTACAAGAAAACAAGCATTTGGTCAAGCGATTGACTGGGTGAGGGAAGAACAATACATCAAAGAAAAAGCAGCAAGGCTTGTTGGGAGTGAGTGGTCTGGTTAAATGGGATTTCAAATGGAAAGAAAGAATGGAGAACAGAAGACATGCAACCATCGACAAAAGTCTCACGGATCTATTATGTATCATGAGTCCATGTCTCCACGACCTTCCCTCCCAAGGCTACTACGTAGTAGGTAGTAACGGTCGCCCAGGAGAGTCAGCCATTAGCACGATTCTTCTGTCAAGGAAGATTAGGAGGAAACATTCAACAGTCCACAGTATGTACGGCGCATATGAACGTAAGATTCCGTTGCGCTACTGGATTGATATGCAAAAGCTGGATTCTGCATGCACTTGCATTCATCTTCGAAAAGCAATGAGACGGCTCCAGTACCGCACTCCCTAGCGTGGTGACTAGTGATGGTTAGAGCTCCTAACTGGGAGTCTGGGGACCAAAATTGTATTCAGAACTGGAAAGACGGGGAAAGCAGTTTGATTTGACCCACTACGGGATACCTGGATAATTCCGATGCTAGTGGATGTACCATTGCACATGAGTAATGAAGTCGAGTGGTGGAGGACATCAACAATTGGTGGTGATGGTGAGGTATATTTAATTGGTGGTGATTGGATGAGGGAGGTAATTAATAGAGCTACAGTCATACTTGACTGTACAGGCCGTATAGTATTAGACAGATAAAGTATCTGGAGCCGAGAATTAGACAGGTACAGTCCCTTGAGCCGAGGATTAGACGATAGTGGAAATGAACCGAACGTAAATAGCGTTAAGATAAGCTTCTCACATAAGCATCGCATGTATAGTGCCTCTTGTCACACGAACCACTCAACCAAAAGGGATACACCCTTGACGAGGGTCGATTTAGCTCTTTTGACAGCTCTCTAGTCTAACTCCTGCTCAACTAGCTGAGACTACGGAGTACTACTCGAGCAATTTCTCTCTGGTTCTTCCATCTGCGATGATGAACTCCAATCTCTACTGTATCGCATTATTGATAAATGACAATGTACATACGCAGTACAGTACTTACTACAGATACAGTACCTACCTCCTCAGCTATATCCGTTCATCTCACCAAGTCGAGCTGTTACACAGCGGAACAGAACCACCCACCTGCTGGCACATGCATGTCTTCCACTCGGTTTAAAATCATCGGTATCGTGATCCTGTACAGTATATGGCTGGCGTGCGCCCTCCCGCTATCTCCACTCTGTTCCCCTGAATATCATTTACAATGTACATTACATGGGGCTTTGCATCCTATCATGGCTGAAGATTCCCGCTTACCCCTAGCTTCCCTCCAAGGGTCTCAGACTCTCAGTGACCGTGAGTGATGGCTTGACGGGTACGTATTGTATCCTTCAGTTTAAAGCAGCCCTATCCTTGGCAGTCAGGTATCAGATCCTCTGAGTCTTGCTTTCCCAATCTTGTGTGAAGCCCCCTAGCCCGGCAATTGCGATGCATTCCTTCCGTTGTTCCACACTGTCCCCCTGCTCATGTCGTGTGGTTCGTGGCTCAGTCCGAAAGTCTTGTTATGTCTGGTTTTGATATTGCTGTGCCCTTCTCTGGTAGTGCAGTTGGCTCAGCTGAGCTCGGTGCTTGACGTTGTCAGCAATTCGTCCACTCCACCATCGATACGGTACGTCGACACGAGTTGAGTGTGGACCATTGCTATCTTTTCAAGGCGTCTTCATTGTTGTTCTTTCGATATGGGTTTCAAACGTCGCTCGGGTATCACTCCACAGACCGTCTCGTTACAGCCAACGGGAGAATTTGAAGGTAGTGATGGGCAGTGGTCGACATTCGCCGTCTCTGTCGGATCGGACAATCAGCCTTTTCGGGTGTTGGTATCGACCTCCTCTCCCTCTACGTGGATTCCAAGAGAAGGTTCCTGCAGCAATGGCAACCCACCCAGCAACTGTACCGGGTTAAGAGGGATAGAGGCGAACTTTGGCACCAAAAGCCAGGGATATCAACTCGCCCCGTCAAAGGAGTTGGACCAAGGTGTTTATCCTCTTAAAGTTGGAAACGACGATACGAAAGAACGATATGGACCATCTTTTGATATGGCCGCGAGATTTGCGAACGACTCAATCAGCCTATCCAGCGACACTGGCAACGACGTGACACTGGATTCTCAAGTCATCGCTGCTTTTGTTACAAACAAAACTCTCCTGGGCACCTTGGGATTGTATTGGGGTCACAATACCTTTGGAAGAGTATCCGTAGGGTCGATGTTCTCCACGATCCCCAACAGCACCACCTCTTTTCGGCCGAGTCTCTCGTATGGATATACCGCGGGTGCAGTTTACTCACCCCCCAAATTCCTTGGTAGCTTGGTCATTGGAGGATACGATAGCTCAAGATTTGATCCATCTCCGTATTCCTATGAGTTGGATAAGACCACAAAGGAGATGCGCCTCTCCGTGCAATCCATCAAAGCGGTCTATAAATCTGGGAGCGATGCTCTGGATTTATCGAGAGAGAGTTATGAACTTGAACGACACACTGTTCTTCTGGACTCCACCTTACCCTATATGTTCCTTCCGCGGAGCATTTGTGACCGGTTTGAAGAAGTGCTTGGTCTTACATACGACAACCGCACTGGTCTCTATTTAATGGATGAGGCAAATCGGTCAAAGCATCGCGATCTTAACACGACTATTCAGTTCAACCTTGCGGATGCCTACTCCTCAGCCAGTATCACACGCATTTCATTGCCATTTGTAGCCCTCGACCTCGAAGCCTCTTGGCCGACTGTTCCCAACGGGAATCACACACGATTCTTTCCTATTAGAAGGGGCGTTGCATCCGATAAATACATCTTGGGCAGGGCATTTATGCAGGAAGCATACATCATTGTGGACTATGAGCGGGGAAACTTTTCTGTCGCACAGTCACGAAATTTCGGTCCAGCCCCTTCACCAAACATCATCGCCATCACTTCGCCTCATACAAAGGAAAAGGAAGGTGGGCTCGGCGCTGGAGCCTTGGCCGGCATCGGTATCGGTGCTACAGTGGTGGTTATTGCCATGTGCGCGCTCGCCTGGTACTTGTTCAAGGGAAGGCAAAAGAAGACACCGAAAATTGAACTGGACGGCACAGCCGTGGAACCTGAAAAGCCTCCAGCCGACAGGGACCAGGACAGACGTCACACCGTATTCAGCATCGCATCTTCCGAACTGCCCGGATCGCCCGTGCCCAGAATATCGATGCCCGGAATAGCGAGACTCATGAGTGGTCGACGTACCTCGGAGCTAGCCACACCGGTGAATCTGGAAGGATACTTTGCGCCGCGCCTTAGAAAGACGGATTCGGCCGAAAGCAATGAGCTGAATACACCACCAGAACTCGAACCTATTCGACAACAGCAACGGAATACATATATCCGCAATTCTACTGGAGGTTATAGCCCACCAAGTCCCATTGCCGAACTCCCTGGGAACACATGGGTTGGAAGTGGCGTACCCGCTAGTACTTCAAGAACTCCTCCACAAAGCCCCCCGGAAAGCCTTTCGGACAGCTCTGCTACGATTCAAAACTCGCTTCGACAGCCATCCAGTTCTTCTGAGCAGAAATCGAAAGAGGAGTCACCTGAACCTTCCCAGGGCTCCGTGACCGATGGATATCCATGGATTGTAACCTCCCAAAATCGATGACCTTTTTGTACTGGACAGGTACCCATAGCCCTGGCGTAATACTAGTGGCCCTAGGTGGGCGAGTCTTCTATAGTGCTGCCCTTGTTCCCCTTCGCTGCGTATGGGTTGGCAGGCGAAGCTCAGAGCAATGAACAGTTTATAATTGGCAACGGCATGCTTTCATTCAGTGTTCTGTTCTGGCGCTGGGACCAGGGAAACCCAAATTACTTTCAATCGACCTGCCTTATCAATCATGTCGGCCAGAAGTGTCAACGTTTAATCCCATGTCTCTCTATGACGCTTCTCCACAGTGAAACTATTCTCCCTGTGCCTTTTGATCAGGTTCTTGTGTCTCCCGCTCCTTTAGCTTTGCCATCCACATGGAAGCGACACGAGCAGCATCCTCCCAATGTTTTCGTATCGAACCAGATCCTTCGTCTTGAGAGACAGTCAAATCCGTGCCCAGGGCTCCTCATTCACAATAGAACTGAATATCAACCGCAAGTTCTTCCCCACCAGAATACCTTTCGGCGGAGATGTCGTCTTTCAAACTTTTGAGATACGAATGCACTTTCAGGATGTAGTCACCAACCGTAACGCCGTTTTCTCCAACGCTCGCTTCAACAAACCGGGTTTAGCGGGAAATATCGATGGCAAGTCCCACAAAGGCATCAATCATGGGTTTGCTCGGACTCGGATTCTGAATCACAATCGCACCAACCCTTGGAGACGAAATAATACTCACACAACGTATATACCTCCACATGGATCGACAAAGCCGGAAGACGGCGGATGGAGGACTTCGAGAGCGGATGGAAAGTCCCCTCCGGATTCTGGAACGGTCTAGCGGTCGATTGCACATCGGTTAGGGCGTCCAAGATCTTGATGTCGGACATTTCACCGAATATCGGCCACCGGATTCCGCAGGATTGTTGAATGCGCTCATGTGACATCTGAGCCCACGCTTTAAATTGAATCTCCCTGTCGATTCCCGCCTTGTACCATTCATAGGGCTGCAGTGGGGTATTGGAGTTAGGGTTCGTTTATTTACTGTCCATAGTTGTTGCTAGTTTGAAGGTCGATATAATGTGAATCGTGTTTGGATGTGCGAAATACACTCTGCCAAGTTGAGTGATCAGTCGCAGAGGTACGGGATATAGAATTCGATATGGTGATGAAGTTATAACATGTCCACGAGGATCTGAGAAGATGGAGATCTGTTGATGGTGTCAGGTCTGCGGCTTCAGTTGGAGCCATTGGGCCTGGTGCCTGTACGTACATTAATTCATCCTTCACCCAATCACTTTCCACGTCCTCTTCCAACTCACATAAACGAAGGATCAACCTACCGATTTAAAAGGACTTCAAGACCACATTTCTATCTCTAGAGGTGACGATTCAGACTTTCGACGACCCAAAGGTTGATGTTGAAGACTAATGTATTATCTGAAGGAGCCTGAGGCTACAAACTGCATTAATAATCTTGCTATGATTCTCATACGTTAACTATCACGAGCGTAGCGAGTTACTAAAGTGGTCGAATCAAAAACTTTTTTCTCGCCCTCTGATTGGCTTGACAGGGGTTCGTGAACTTAAACCACGTGACTTTGGTCCTTTTCACCATTTCTGTTATAGTCCCAGGCCGGTTCCCTTGGTTGTGGCTGAAGACGTGGCTGGTGGATTATATCAGAGAAGCAAACAAATATGGTAACACAGCAGTAGGGCATTGGAGAGGAGAGTCGCTATCTCGCGCACACAAAGGTGCCGGGAGATTTCTTCTCTCTCTCTCTCTTCAGTTTAGATTAATGGAACTTGGTAATCGCAGACCTTGCGCATCCAGACCGTGTCAATACTCGGTCTGCTCCTCTGTATTTATGCATCATCTTCTTCTTTCCTCTAGATCTCTCTTTTCTAGACAATGGGAATCGCCAATACTAGGGCTTGACACGAATAAGGATTTTAGGGCTGGACACGAATATTCGATTACGAATATTCGTACGAATATTCGTAGTCGAATACGAATAAAATTTAGAATTTCCGCTTACTAATATTCGTACGAATAATATTCGCATTATTCGTAATTATTCGTAATTATTCGTAAATCTCTGAAGCTATTTCCATGTATCTCGCAGCATCATAAGACGCCTCATAGTCTCTGCACTCATTGAGCTCCTCCGCACTCCTAAGAGATCTCTTCCCCCACTGAACAGTCTTTCGACTGATACCCCAGATGCTGGTATAGCCAAATAATCTCTGGCAGCTGCAGCCATACGTGGGT